CATGAGTGAATGGACTCAGTTGGGACCCCAACAGCCCAGTAAGGCCAGAGCCCGCCGCCAAGTTCAGCCAAGGGCAGCCAGGCATGGAGGCACAGCAGGGGGAGGGCGAGGCCCCCATCCTCAGAGGGGGTCTCAGGTGACGGTTTCTGTGCTCCTCATGGGGGGCCAGCAGGATGGAGGACAACCTGTGGCCCTTTGCTCAAGGTGGAGACAGCACTCACCCTGCTTCAGCAGGGACTTTCTCTTCTCTACCCTCTTCCTCCCCACCCCCTCCTGACTGACACCAAAGCTGGCTCTGACATGATTTAAAAATAGTTATTAAGACAAGGAAGTTTAATTTTTAATGCTTTGGAAAGGAAGTGAACACAGAGCAGGCATCCCCTCACGGACACATCCCAGGGTCTCGGAGCTTCTGCCAGGCCCTTCACCAGCCCACTTTCCCCCAAGCAGAGCCATGCCTGACCCACCCCACAGATCTACTTGCAGCGGCCTCTGGGGAGACAGCCTGCCGCCCCACACCTGAGCACTTCAGGAAGCCTCGCAGAGCCTCCTGCTGCCCAGCTGAGCCTGCAGCTCCTGCTCAGAGAAGCCAGGTCTGAACCCCAGCTCCCAGTTCAAAGCCCTCCGCCCATGCACCACTTCCACTGCCAGACAGAAAACCCCACAGACTCCTCAGGACACCCCAGGCCATCCAGCACTGACTGTGCACGGACCCCAGTCCTGGGCACCATGGACGAACGGGGAGCCACAGAGGCACTCGCAGCGCAGCCAAGCCAGCACCAAACATGTGGCTCAAATGTGGCTGGACAGCCTTAACCAAGCTGCCTGCACCCAGAGTGCAAGTTAGCAGCCTGAGAGCAGCCATGCTGCAAAGGCCCGACCCCACTTAGCAGGGTTAATCAGGGGCCCCACCCAGCACCCTAGTCGTGGCAGCCCCACGCCAACGTTTCCTTTGCTCCAGCAGGCACACTGGACACTGCCTCTTGGGCTAATTGGCCTTTATTAAGGGAGTGATCCACAAGAGACAGACTTTCCACCAGGGCCAGAATGTCACTGTTCTGCCAGCCATGATTTAAAGCGATGGGACAGCTCTGCTGGCAAGCATGAAAAGTGACCATTATCCTGAGTGGCCATTATGCCAGCAACCCCAGCCCCTCCATATCAGACAGGAGCTTGATCTGGGTTGGGAGGAGCTGGGCTGGGATGATGATTTGCTGTCCCGAGAAGGGGGACACAGGCCGCCAGCACTCAGAGCCCAGCCCTATACTCTCTCCCTTACTCAGAATTAAAAGCTCTGAACCTCCTTTGTCCCCCTGCAGGGGCTTAGATTCACTTACTCTCTACCTGGAGTATTCCATCCAATGGCCCTGGGAGTATTCCAGTCTCATGGCTCAGATCCCAGGACTGAGATGGGGCTGAGCAAGGGAAATGCCCCAGTGGTTTCCACTGCGGGGAAAAATATCTTGGGGTGCATTTGATCACTAGTGGACAGGCCCCTCCAGATGGGGAAACTTCTGTCCCAATTCAGGCCTCCTATTTCCTCTCCACCAAGAAGCCAGCACTCTCTTTGGCCCTGAGGATCAGGGTGAGGCACGTGGGAGAAGAGAAGAGGTGGGACTCAGTCAGGCATGACCACTGACTCCCCCACCTCTACCCCCACCATCTATATCAGGCTCTCAGAAATGCTGCCGTGGCTGCCAACATGGCCAGCACCGTCTAGTTGAAGTTGGCGGTGCCAGGAGCAGACCTGGACACCACCCCTCCCCCAGCAGGCCAGCGCCCAGCAGCCTGTAAGGCACCTGCCCTTTTCTTGGTAGGGAGCACTGACCCCATAGCCCCGCCTCCCACCCTGCCCCCGGTGACGTCACCAGGCCCTCACCAACACCAATACCCAAGAAGCTCCACCCAGCGGCAAGGAACCGGGGACTCTCCTGCCTGGGGGGTTGCAGTGTAAGACAGCTGCTCCTCTCCTCCACACTGGGGATCCTCCCAGCACTCCGGGAAGGCAGGGGCTGTGGCAGCAGCGGCGAGTTTGGAGAGCCACCAGGTAGACTCCAGGATCTATGGGAAGATCTCCATCTATTGATTGCAGGCTTGGGGTTCAACTCTAATGCCTCAGAAAAGCCTCCTTTTGGGATCTGAGCCATGAGACTGGAAAAACTGATGGCTATGTAATTCCTAACAATTGCTCTCGGTCCCCGAGGGCTCGGGCTCTGACCAGCCCTGCATACCTCCTCACCCCACCCTCTCCCCACCTCCTGCCTTTCCTCCCTGTGTGCAATGGAAAGCAGCAGAGGTCGCCCATCTGCTCATCACCTACCCTACCTGCCTTTGGCCCCAGCACCTTCACTCGCTCTCTTCTCATGTGGCTCTTTCCTCTGCTCCTCGTCAGACCTGGCTGCAGGAAGTCTTCGGCTGAGTGGAGCACAGTGCCCCCCCCATGCCCAAGTCCTGGCTAACACCCGCCTCACCTGCTCCTCCACCGCCCCATAAACACAGTGGCAGACACTCTGACACACACAGCAACTGTTCCATCTTCCCTAAGGCCTATGTCTTATTCCGTCATCTCATACACTACTAGCATAAGAGAACTGGGTCTTTGGGGCTAAATTTTTCCCAGCTCACAGCATGAGAATTCTGAAAATATCAAGTAATCAGAAAAGTCAGAGACTAGGAGAGAGCAGCTCCTTGCCTGGTGAGAGAGTAGTGGTAGATGCCTTCTAATTAGGAAGAGACAGCAAGTTCTCTCACTACAGACCATAAAGAAGACCACTCCTGACCAGCTCATTACCTCTGCCAGGCTTCCAAGGGAAGACAGAAGGAGCCGCCTGTCACTCCACAGCTAAGGTGCTAGGACAGCCTTCACCACAGGCAAGTTTGAGAACTCACTTCTTTTCTCCATCAAGTGGGACTTGGAATCCCTACCACATAGTAACCTGTGGATTTACCACTCTGGCTCTCCATCACTCACTCACAATACATAACGAGTGCCTACTACCTGCAGGGCACAGACCACTATGCTAGCCTGTGAGGAGGTCCCCAAACTAAGTTGGGACGGTCCTGGAGAAGAAAGGAGCCGCAAGCAGTTATACCTCCTCTGGCCAGCAGGTGGCGGGGTGGGGGTGGGGAGGAGCACTGCTGAGTTGGAGGTACTGGCTAAGGCACTGAGCATCCCCAGGAGGGTCTTTCTAGCAAGTGTAAAGATGTGCAGAGTGGGGCAAGCAGAAAGGTAGGTTGAGACTATGACCACGGGCAGAGAGGGAGGCTGTGCACAACGCAAGGACAGCACTAGTATAAACCCGCAGGTACCAGGGAAATACACACCAGCACTTGGCTGACGCGGAGTCATGCTGGTAAATGAGTCAGAGGACCAGGAGCACTTGCCTAAAGGTGGCCACAAAGTCATTCTTGATATGCCAATGGTTCTGCCCCAGTTTCCACAAAACCCTCACCACGGGACAGGTAACAACCTGACAGCAGTGGCTGGAGGGCCCCAGACCGTGGAAACACCTGAGGAAACCCAACTCAAACATCTCAGACCAGGCTCCCAGGCAGAGAGGCAGTGGCCTGTGCCCCCTGGCGGGGAAGGGATTGCCTCCCCAGAGAGAAGGCGAACATGCAGGACGTCCCATAACCAACGAGGTGAGGACACGAGGCAGACCATCACACAACCCCCTCACTGGACTAGAAAGGAGACCCAGTCCTGAAGGGATAAAGCGATCTGCCCAAGGTCACACATGAAGCTAATGCAGAACAGAGATAAACACCCAGTCTTCTTCCCACCTGCCCCTGAGCTCTCTCCTCTGTGCGAAAAGCTGTCTCCTCCCACACACAGACCCAAAAAAGTTTTTCAGTTAAAGCAGATCACTTCACACAGTGTTGAACACCCAAGCTCAATGGCTTCTACCAACTGCACTGCGAATGACCCGCCTGCCCCAGTGCACCTCCTGGAGCAGGGCGGCTGACAGCCTCCAGCAGGCCGGAGGCCAGGCCCTGGGGCAGAGCCAAACATCTGTGCAGACTACATCTGGGCTCTGGTGAACAAAGGCGGAGAAAGCAGTTGGGGTGAAGGAACAATTAGATACGAATTCAAGAAGTTTTCAAATTTGCCTAAGTAGTATTTCTCATGCATGTGCGGGCGCGCACACACATGGCCTCCAGAATCACAGAGGACCGAGAACAATTCCAAGCTGCCCCACCTGACACCTTCTCTAGAAAATAATCTCTCACCAAGGATGGGGGCACTCCTGACTGTCTCCCTTTGTCCCTTCCAGTCTCTGGGGCTCCCAGAGCCTGGAGGGCTGGCGTTCCACGCAGGAGCACATGGCCAGCCTGCTCCCTGCCCAGTCCACTGCAATCCCTCAAAAGCAGCTGCCTGCCACCCGATGGCAGCATCCCTCCCACACCCTCCTTTTCCACACAAGCCCTAACTCAGAGGCATATCTGCAGGCTAGCCAGCCAGTCCCTCTGCTTGGGACAGGGGCTCCTCCTCCTTTTCCTGGGATTCACTGGAAGGAGGAGGAGGAGGTGACCTCTACCAGTACCCCATCTCATGTCCATAAAATGCTGCAGATTGTATTCTTGTGTATTCAGGGGAAATACAAGAAGAAACTCAGAAAACCGTCCACACTTGTGCCTGTCTTCAACTCAGGGACACAGCTGTTAAAAATTCTGCCCCACACCTAGTTCTGCAAGGTACCCAGGCTGTAGGTACTTCCAGCATCGGTTTGTTATGGGGAAGGAGGCGGTGGCAAACTTCGCCAGCCTCCTAGGAGTAGAGGAAGTCTCTCCTGGAAGACCGGCAAGTTGGAGCCTCCAGTCAGCCACAGAAGAGAGAGAAAAAAAGAGAAAGATGCGGGAGGGACACGACGATTTTTTTAAAAACCCACTTACCGTTGTGCAGAGAGGAGCAATGCAGCACGGAAGAGGAAGAGGGTATCACGCTATGACCATAGCAGAGAAGAGAGGAGGCAAAGGGAGAGAAAAACGGAAGGACTTACCCAGAATATCAAATTGAAGAGGAACATCATGTACTTCAAGCAGCAGAGGCAGCCCCTGGCCATGTTGCACTTCTTAAATTCTAGGAGGAAAACAAAGGACAGGTCCAGGTAAAACACCACGTACTTGCTGCCCTTGGGTGCATTGTACTTGTCAGTCTTAACGCCGGCCTCGGCGCGGCTCTGGCCCCGGGAGCCCGCGGTGCCGTAGAAGGCGCCGGCCGTGAAGCCGCGGCCGAACGGGCGGCCCGAGGTGGACGGCTTGGCAAAGTCCGAGTCCTTGCTGTCCAAAGATGGACTCCGGTGGATCGAAGAATCCTCGCTACTCGACTTCTCCATGCTCGCGTCGTTCCCGGGGGGCGCGAGGGGCGGGGGGCATCGCTCCCGGAGTGGGACCGAGGGGCGCCTAAGCCGGGCGCGGGCTGCGGGCGGGCCGGCGGAGCCTTGCACGCCCCCCTCTGTACCGGGGCGCACTCCGGACTGGACCCGCTGCTCAGGAGCCGCTGCCTGTCGGATGGCGCCCCGCTCTCAGCCGGCTGGCCCGGGAGGGCTCTGCGGCGCGGCTCGGCTATAAGCGCGCTAGCGAACGTTCTCCGGGAACCGGCTCGCCTGCGTAACTTAGCGTCTTTGAGGAGGCTGCAATTTGATTTCTCTTTCCGGAGCGTTAGCTCGCCTCCCGGGTGCACCGGCCGCTCCACGCGAGGCGCAAGGACGCCGGGATCCAGGCTCCCTGGGCACACCCCTCCCAACCCAGCCCCAGCGCTGAGCCCGACCACTTTGCGGGCGCTCCGCCTCCCCTCGCTCCACGACTTTGCAGAGCTGCTCGCCGGCCCTAGGCGGCCCGGGCACGCGGCGGGCAGAGCCGAGGGATCCGCCGCAGCTGCAACCGCTGGGCTTTCCCGGCGAAATCCCAGCACAGCCTCGCGACTCCGAAATCGCCCGGAGCCCCCTCCCCGGGGCCTCGGCCCCGCCCCCTGCTTTGCATTCGACCAATGAGCGCAAGGCCTGCCCAAGGGGACGCAGCCTCCCCCCTCCCCAATGACACAATATCTTTAATAGGATTAGCGTTCTGCTCTGTGCCTATACCAGTGCACTGCGAACCCTCGCTAAATGTCAAGGGCTCTGGAGCTGGGGGTGAACCACAGCCGTCATCGGAAGGCGCTGGTCTCTTCTACCGGAGAAAAGGGGGCAGTGAGCGGAGGGGGAATGGCTGGAGGGACCAACGACCCAAGGAAGCCAGAGGAAAGGTCTGGGGAGGACTGGAGGGGGAGAGAAGTGCGGCCTCTGTCGAGCTGGCCGCTGCCCCCTGTGCACACGGGGGCCTGTCTGACCCGAGGCACACCGTCTCCCAGCTACACCCACACACGCACACCACGCTTTTGCACACGTGGGTCTGGCTACAGCGCGCAGGGAGAAGGAACTGCAGGAGGCGCGAGATGTGGGAAAGGCGCCCGGGGCCTCCGCGGTGCACGCACCGCCCTCCCCGCCTCCTCCGCGCGCACGCGGCTCCGCGAGGCTCCTGCAGCTGCGCAAGCCCCTTACCCCCGCCCTCGCGTTCCCGGGTAGGTCGCTCCCTGGCTGAGAAGAGTAGATCGCCGAAGTGGGGTCCTTCCTTGCCCCTCCGCTTCCTGCACATGCAAAGGGTGATGTCAGGAGTGCTCTTGGACACAGGCTTGGGTCCTATGTCCTCCCCCTTGAGGAGTGCACGGAAGGGGCTGGTCAGGGAAGCAGCATGAAGAAGGCTCTTGCTAGGGGCTTGGGAACATCCAGGAGGAGCCCTTCATCCTACCATAAAACACTGCACCTGGGGCCGCGGCCCCCGGGCTTGTCCAGAAGTCGGCACCGCCGACCTGGGGCTACCACAGTCGGCAAACAAAGACCAGAAGACTTGAGAGGCGAGGAGCCCAGCTCTCTTTTCCACCACCAGCAAGAGAGGGCTGAGAGTCCCCGAGAGCAGGGCCTAGGCTGTGTATCCACAGCACCTCACACCGGGCCTGGCCTGCGGGGGGCGCTCGACAGGGATGGCTGGAGAGAAGAACTCGTGCCCTCCCTTGGGGTGTGAGTGTGCAATGCCCTCCCTGGATCCCATCAGACACTTATTGCACACCTGCTGTGTGCTGAGGGCCAGGCCTTGAGGAAACAGATAGATGGTGTGCTGCTCCCTGCCCTGCAGACACACACAATCTAGTCAGGAAGACAGAAGGACATCATCACCAAGGCGATGGGTGGGAACAGAGCTACCACAACTGGCTATAGCCGTGGGGGAAGGCGACATTTATTCCGACCAGAGGGACTTCAAGACCCTATCACAGGTCTGCTGCGGCAGCCCCGCACTGCTGAGTCTGCACCCTCACTGGCTCCGAGGCAGGCCTGCATCCTAGGGGTGCAAGGGCTCAGACTCTGAGGGCAGGTCAGCTGCTTCAAGGGGACCTGTGAGGTATTACTGTTCTGAGCCCCTTTCCCAGGCAGACGGGCAGCCCAGAATTGAAACCTGGTGTGTCACAGCCACAGCACCCTACTCTCTCCTGGTTGGGCACAGCAGTCCTGTGGATGCCGTCTACAGATGAGGAGCAGATGTCTGGCTGACAGCACCACGCCTTCTGACTGGATGGCTAACGCCTTTTACCCTCTTCAGCCTCCGCCGGCTCCTGAGGGCTCACAGAGACCACTTCATTCTCAAGACATTACTTCTTTGATGCAGGAGAGATCGTTTACCAGCTGGACTGGGGGTCAGGAGACCTGTTTTTCACTCTTAGCTCAGTTTTTAGCTGTGTGATCAAGGAGAAGGTAGTTTGCCTTTCTGAGCTCCCCTTTCCTCCTCTCAAAAATGGGGATTAATAGAGCCTACCCCCTAGAGGTGTTGTGAGAAGAGAGTGAGCTGGGGAATGTGAGAACAGTCTGAGCACTGTGAGCACTAAACAAATGTAAGGGGCTGTTACTACTAGTCTCAATGAGGACTTGGTGTCAGCAAGGGCCCTCCCAGGTTGGCCCCTCTACCTTCTAATTTTTTTCATCTCTCTTCTCCCTATCACATCTTTTTCAGTGAGAATAGCCTTCCCTGTTGTCCCTGGATCATTCTACCTTCATTTCTGACCACAAATGGATTTGTGCCAGTGACTACTTCCTCAGCAAGTGAGGGACCCCCTTGGGGGGCCAGGGGTGAAGGACCACAGGCAGGTAAGAGAAGCAGAGGAGGCTGTCCCAGGTAACAGTTCTGCTCCCCAACCACCACCACCCCGCCCAGTCATATTTGTCCCAAGGGCACTGAAGTCCCACTCTTCAGTCCATTAACAAAGCTTCAGTGAGGTCCCATCAGGGCACCCAGCTTTGTCAACATCAAAATAACAAGAGCAACTCAGATTTATAAGTTCTTATTATCTCCCAGGCACCAAGCTTCACTCACAGTAACTCACTGAATCCTCATGACAACCCTACGAGACAGGCATGGTTGTTACCCCCATTTTACAGATGAGCAAACTGTGCTTACCAAGCCCATGTTCTTTACTCTCTTGGGCTCTAAACCTAGTTCCTGCCCTTCGGAGTCTTCCAGTCTAACAGACAGAATCTAAAAGCATAACAGGGAACCTGAAATCACACATCCTGATGAGAAGTCATTACAGAAAAGACCCTGAGTAAGGGGCAAAAGGGAGAGGTGTGGCCAGGGCGGTGCCACTGGACTGATGACCAGCAAAGTGAGTCCCCAAGGAGGTGGCCCTGAATTACCTTACAGAGGGTTGTACAAAGGAAGCGAGTGCAGGGAGAATGCAGTCTGCAAGACAGGAAGCTAGTCCATGAAAGGAGACAGCTTGGACAAAGCTGGGAGAGGGGCCATAGGAAGGCAAGATTAGCCAGACAGCATCCGTCCTCCTCCCTCCCACAGAGAACAAACCATGCATTCGTAATAGAGCATTCATCACAGGCAGGAGACTGGGCAAGGATCCTGGAATATACAAAGATGAGTGAGCAGTGGCTGTGGGCCTCAAGGAGCTCACAGTCTAGCTGAAGAGACCAGCCTTCTACTCCCGCTCAAGACTATACCTAGGGCCGGCCCCGTGGCTTAGCGGTGAAGTGCATGTGCTCTGCTGCTGGTGGCCTGGGTTCGGATCCCGGGCGCGCACTGACGCACCGCTTCTCCGGCCATGCTGAGGCCGCGTCCCACATAGAGCAACTAAAAGGATGTGCAGCTATGACGTACAACTATCTACTGGGGCTTTGGGGGGAAAAAAAAAAAAAAAAAAAAAAAATAAAAAAAAAAAAAAAAAAAAAAGACTATACCTAGAGAAGCCCAAAGCAGTGAGACAGAGCACATAAGACAACAGGACCAGCAAAGAGCTGTCCCTTGGGGAAGGGCTCTCTGGAGTGGGTGTGGACAGGGAGAGAGGAGGAGAGAGGGCATTCTAGAAAGGCATGAGTATGGTACATTCAGGGGGCAGTGAGGAGACAGCCTGACTGAAGCAGGAGAAGGTACCTGGGGGTCAAAGTGAGCTACTCTGCGAGGCCTTGCATGACACATGGACAGTCTGAGCGTACGAAGCAGTGGAGGCACATAACCAAATTGGGGTCCTAGGAGGCTGGGCCTGGCAGCAGGGTGGAGGAGAAGCAAGAAGACCAGCTGCTGTGGTTGCCTCAATTTCTTGGCTTTTGGATGCAGAAGGAACCACCAGAGAGAAAAGGTGAGAGACACCATCCCTCCTGCCCCCTCCTGATCCTCAACCACTTGCCATGCTCAGGAGAGCCAGAAGGTACACACTGCCCTTGAGGATCTCTGAGCATGTGAACAAGGCAGAGCTGCCTTTTCTTTCCCTTTTTTTTAAAACAAAAAAAAAAAAAGTGAAGCAAGTATAGAACTCCCAGAGGGGAGGAAGAGAAGTGAATACGTGAAATCAACATGCAACATCTCTGCTGACTGGCAACTGGGGAGATGTGGCCTTCAGAGTAAATACCAGGCTCTCTCTGCCTCTCCCTGAATCTCTCAGGCCTGCGGTGTGAGACAGCTCACTCCTTGGTGGCTCACTCACCCACACACAATCAGAGCTGATGGGCCAACACTGCCAGCCCTTTCTGACCCGCACCGGTATTTCTGTGTTTGACAGTGTGTGCAGCTCCTGACGTATCCTGTACCTAGAGCCTCAAACAAGGCAGCCTCACCCAGAATTTAGGTTAGACACTAAATAGCTCTTGCTATCCAAAGGAACGTGTGAGACAGCCTGCCACTGCAGGAGAAGGGAAACTCACCCCAGTTTTTAAATTCCAAACCTGGGATCATCTTTGGCAATATAGAAAATGCTTCAACGGCTAAGCAAACCATTTGCCGATGGTGCCAAAAGAGAAGAAGGCTGGAGAGGTCCCTAGCACGGGGCCCACATCCTGAGACATTTGCATGATGATTTACTGGGCAGGGGATGGTGAGGAGGGCCTAAAGGCTGGGGAGTCTCCTCTTTGCTATGGAAATTAAACAGCTAGAACAGCATGTGGTACCACACTTGGCCAGGACTCCAGAAGGACCTAACAATGATGGTGAAGGGGTCAGAGTAGAAAAGAACTACTACGGGTAGTTTTGTTTGTTTTTTATTTGTTTAGTTTCTGAGCGCAGTAAGGAAAACAAACGAACAGGGTTTGGCTGCAGTAGGAGGGGTCACAGATGAACTGAGACATGAGTTGCTCAGGACAGTCTACCAGGGGTGGCCGGGGTACTGCCTTCTCTGTGGACAAGCTTGCTCCTCCCTCCTCAGGCCCCCAGCTTTGTTCAGACTGCAGTTACAGTTCACCCACCTGCCTCTGCTCTGGCCCCTGGGCTTCTCAAAGGAGTATCTTCTCAAAGGCTGTGTCTTAATCGTTTCATCACACACGTGCACGCGCGCACACACAC